AAACTGATATGGCACGTGGATTAGAGATTTTACATCTGATTTTAAGGTTTTCTATTTTATTGGAAATGTTGCAACATAAAGAATCTATCTTTGAATAATCCCTCGAATTTTCGTGAAGAGTTTTTTTTTGGAGCGATTATTTTCTTTTGTTGTTTCATTTTATTTTTATAACCTCTGTGTTAGGTAAATGGTGCTGGTGTTTTTATGCTATGCTTGAGAAGTCATCTAAGTGACTTCTCTGTAGAAGAGGAAGAGAAGTCACTTAAATGAAGAGGTGGCCGTGACATCTCCGCAGAGGCAGATGTAGGGCACGAACCTGGACATCCTCTATTTTGCTTCAAAGGGGAAACATGTACAGTGTGTGGAAGTTGGAGCTTTTCACATATTGCTCTCTCCTCCTTTTTTTTTTTTTTTTCAAGTTTGTTCCTTATCTGTTAGGGACACCTGATGGTTTGTCACTTCAAACTCTGACTCTTGGTTTTTGTCCTTTAATCCGGTGGTCCCCAACCTTTTGTCACCAAGGATGGGTTTCGTGGAAGACAGTTTTTCTATGGACTGGGTGGGGGTGGCAGGAGGGTGGGGCTCTGCAGGACCGCAGCCTTAAATAAAGCATTATTTCATTTTCATCATTGTGTGTGTGAGATTGGTGGCAATTGTCATTCTTGTTTTTAATGTGAAGCTTTTTTTTCTTTTTTTCTTTACATTTCAGATTAATACGAGAGTGTAAGTGTTTAGGTTACATTGCTTTCATTTCTAAGGTAAAGTTCAATTTGTAGCTGGCCCTTCACCCAGGGGTGGTGCTGAACACCCTCATATTGTGTGTATTCAAGGAGCTTCCAAACACAGCAGGGAGCCTTAGCCATGGACTAGAATATGGAGAAGAATAAATTTCAGAAATCAAAGGCAAGACCTCTGAACTAACCCAATTCAAAGAGGCAGAAAAAAAGAGAACAAAAACAGAATATTCCCTAAGAAACTTATGGGATTACTCCAGAAGATCAAACATTCAAATTATAGAGATTTCCAAAGGAGAAGAGAATGAATGGTCCTAAAAACAATGAAGCTCTACTTCAAGACATCGTGGTGGAGAATTTCTCAAGCATTGCGAGAAATGCAGACATTCAGATAGTAGATGGTTTCCAAACCCCAGCATGACTCAATTCTTTTGTTTTTTATTCTTGGGCCTAGTCTTTGATTTATCTTTGTAGGACTTATCAGGATTTCCTGGGTACAAGAGGATCTGTCTTGGGAAAAGGGGTCTGCCATATTTGCCTTAAAAGTTTGATGCTAGATATCATGGACAAATATATTTCATTTTCTGTGTAATTACTTTTAGAGAAAGCAGAAAGTAGGTAATCCTCTCATTACCTAGACCTGAAATTATCTTCTAAAGATGGGAATCAGTGCTGTTTCTTTACTGCTGAATATTTATTCTTTCAAGGCAAATATTGCTACATGTGTGATAGTAATAGTTAGGAAATTGTTATATGCTGTGTGGCTTTATTTAATGGGACTTATGGTTATAATAGTTCTAAGAATTTGTGGGATTATTTTCCAGAAATCAAGTTAACTTACTTCCTTTTACCCAAATAGTTTTTTTTCCCTCCCTCAGGCATTTGGATTCAATCCCCAAGTCGACAACTATGTCGAGAAGGCTGTTGCTGTATTTGGTGGATTTTACTTACTTTTCTTTTTTGAAAGAACGCTTAAGATGCTACTAAAGACATATGGTCAGGTAAATGGACTTTATTTTAATTGGTTGCTTTACTCCAAAAGCTACTTTATATAGGCAAATAAAGGCAGGATTTTTATTCTTAGGATCATATGAGCCGTCCAATTATTAGACTTGTGAATATGAGGAGAACAAAAAGATGACTATATGGACAAGTGTACGAGAAATGCATGATTCGTGTTGCAGAATTTGGGACAAGAACTAACAATTTAATGGTGAATAGCAAGAGTGCATCAGTTGTTTTCAATTTATGTTCAGCAGAATAAAAAAGTACACGTACCCTACCATGAAAAAATCGAAGCAACAGAATCTAATAAATGAAAATATATTTGAAGAGAGAGAAACTTCATAAATCTAAAAAGATTTCATTATAGGAAACAGAGACATAAAACTTGTATCAGGGAAGAACAGTGACACTATTTTTTGTCTGTATGATCCCTCTCTTTTATTTTTCTTCTTATAACCTCTTCATCCTTTTTTTTTTTTTTTTTTGTTTTCCCATGTAGAATGATCATACCCACTTTCACAATGATGACTTTGGTCCTCAAGAAAAAGCACATCAACCTAAAACGTTACCTGCCATCAATGGTGTAACGTGCTATGCCAATCCTGCTGTCACAGAGCCTAACGGACACATCCATTTTGATAATGTCAGTGTAGTATCTCTACAGGTACATGCCAATTTCATTTTTTCTTTACTAGTCTGCACTTCTTATGCTATGTAAAGATTGCTGTGAAGGCGGCCATGTCGGTATTGTGTACACTTAAATATATCGGACGATAAGGTGTCGGGTAAGTGCATTCTTTCCCCACTTTCCCTCTAAACAAGTGAATTCAGAAAGAAATTGTGGATCACTGGGTCTCAGGCTTCATTGTCCTGTAAGATTGTCACCACACAGGAGTATCTCACTTGATTTATACAATAATATGTATCAAAATTAATTTAGAGCATTCCCTTTAAAAATTTTTCAATATCTACATTACATCTTTCAGTAATTCTGAAACTGCAAGAAGAAAATTTGTAAGCTACTGAAATTGTGTTTATTAATTAACTGACTTAGAATTTGCACCTGCATCTTCTAGATAATATTAATGAATACCATGTCTTGAATATTACATGCCAGGTAATATGCAAGGTACTGAATTATTTGATCTCATTTTATTACTGTAATAACTATCCATTATAGGGATTATTTTCTAGAACTATTTTGATTTCAAGTGATGGGAATCAAACTCACATTATGTCTGTATGAATAATTTATCAGAGAGATGCTGGTATGTCCAATGGAATGGTCAGTCTAGAGGAGGAACATGACATGCTTCTCTCTACCTGATTAAGGAAACTCTCGTGTATTTGAAAAGACAGTTTTGTGTTAGCAGTAAGCTAAGAGGAAATTATTTTATGCAATGTAATGAATGATGTTTTCAAGATAAGATTTTGCAAAGACTATGGAGTTGTTCAAATAGACAAATTCTTACAATAATTACAGATAATCTTTATGAAATTCTCAAGGACTATGCCTAGAATGTTAGATGAATTACCTCATTTGATCCTCATAATAACCTAGGGGACAAGTGCTGTTCTAATTAGAAGACAGCGGCTTAGAGAAGTTGAATAACAAACCCAAGGAGACCCAGCTCCTAATTGGTAAAGCTGGGATTAGTACCCAGGCTGTCTGATGCTGGAGCCTGTGTTCTTAGACACTCTGTGGGCTTCGTTCCTCAAGTCACCCCTCTACCAGAAACAAGGTGACAACATTATCTCTTCATAAATATTAATTTTTGTAGGAGGAGACCGATCATTTGCCCAAGGTTACTGCTTTCCGTAGATGTAATTTAATGCAGAGCATAGCAGAGAGGACCTGGAGAATGATGGTTACACAGTGTGTCTAAGTTCTAGCTGCCTTCTGCAAGCTTTTGGGAAATACTGGATGGCAGGGAAGTTGGGGATGAACTCTGACAAGTGGGTCAAGAGGTGCCAATTTGCTAATTTAGCATTGCTATCAACAGAATGCAAGTTATGTGAAAATATAGATTATTAATAGCGTGTATCTGGATTTTGCAGAAATGTAAGGAGGATAAAGAAATATTGTAGAATAATTAAAACATATAACTTAGGATGTCTTTATTATTCAGCGGAATAGTTATGGCCTTTGTTAGAATACTCAGATCTGCAGTAATACTTAAATTTAGTAGACTTTGGTGTTTTGCCTTTATTCATTTATATAAAAGAGCCCCATAGCTTTCCACAATTTGTGATTTTGTTGTCATAGAAGCCTATTTACCACAGTAGGAGGATAGAATATATTTCATTTAGCAGGTTGGTAAATTGTGACTTTTAAATATTTAGACACAATGGTTTCAGGCTTCCATAGTACCTTGCTCCAGACCCTGTAAGGGGGAGGCACAGCGGTGTGGGCGGCCTACGCCTGCGTGTGTAGACCTGCACGTTAGGGGAGAGGTGAGGGCAATAGAGAGGTCACAAGGGAACGCAGGGGAAGAAGGAGAGCGCGAGATTCCACGTCTTCACTGATTCAGTTAGAGCTTCTGGCTAACGCGTTACATCTCACCCTGGGACATCGCTTTTTTCCCCCCTCTGACTTTGCTGTATATCCACGTGGAGGAGTCACGTCCCTATCTGTGCAGCCAGAAGGGGCTTTCTCCTGCAGGCTCACAGCCTAGGAAGGGATTTTCTTACCGGGTTTCTGTTGCAGAGCGGGGTTAGGTGCTTCGGGACCTGCGTTAGCGCCTCAGGGCCACTAGAGGGACCCTCCAGCTCAGCCCTCCCGCGGTCCGTACCCGGTCTCTGTCCTTGAAGCTCTGATGCTTCAATTTGCTCTGTCCCCAGATCTGTTTCCTTGCCCGGTACAAGCCATTTTATCTGGCTTTACTCTGTATATTGCTAAAATCATGCGAATTGAATCTAGCCCATACTTCACTGATATCAACTACACTTTTATTCATCTCTAATTAACTAACACCTTTATTTCCAAAAAACCATTCTGTTTTTTTTTTTTTTAACTGCACAAAATTCTTACCTTTAACTCTTTTTACTGAAATGAAGAACATCATTATTTGGGATCTCTGTGAACGGTGCTGTCTCCCCTCATCTGTTAACTTCCTAGAAACTTCTTAGGGTCCCCATCTCCTGCTCACTCTTTTGTGTCAGAACTTGTTTTCTTTCCTTTTAAAAGGCCCGTTCCTCTGTTCTCATCTTTCCACAGCTTCTTACTGTTTTCATTTATCTTTTCTGAATCCCTCTTTTTTCCCCTGTGTCTACAAACATTCTCCATCTTTTCTACCTGAAAGAATCCTTTTTTCTTTTCTGCTTTCCCCCAAGCTTTTGCAAACCTTCTTCCCTATTCCTTTTACCTTCTGGAAAGACTGGCTAATTCTGAAATGAAACTATGTGTCCGAGGTTTGCTTAAGTGCTTTACACATGTTCATTAAAACCTTGTAGTAACAACTGTAGGAGGTAAATGCAGTTATTATTTTCATCTTATGTATGTGGAAACTGATGTACAGAGAAGTCAAGTTACCCACCCAAGGTCACGGTGGATACAGAGTTAGGATTTAACCCCAGAGTCTCTCTATCTGGTTAGCCATTTCTTAGGTCTCTGTGATTAACTATTGCCTTACACTATACTAACCAATCTTTGTATTTGTTAACTAGTTTGACGCGTTCCCTTCTCTTCTTCATCATTTCCTCAAATGCTCTATCATGCATAATTTTTAAACTCACTGCCTATTCTCTGACCTTTTTGGAATAAAAGAAATGACTTTTGTAGGCTACGTGTTGTATTCTTAATCTTCATCCTCTCTTTATTTCTAACCCCAGTCTTTAACACGTATGTGAGTGTTAAAGTGTTTATACTGGCTCAATGCTAGAAATATAAAGGCAGATTTTTTTTTCACGGTAGCTTGTTACCTCTGTTGAAATCCCTCACCAGGTGGTCTTGGTGACACAGGACCATCTTTGCTTCATTACTGGTTAGCTTCCGTGTTTCTGGTGATTTCTGTGGAGGAGAAGCAAGAGTTTTGGAGTTTGGAACAGGCCAGTGTTCTCATCTTAGCAATAAAATACACTGTGTGATTTGAAGAAAACTGATCAACACTTCTGAGGCTGTGCTGATCTGTTAAACGAGGAGCAAAAAATCCACAATTTACTAAATTTTTGTAAAAATTAAATAATTTATTATGGATCAACTAGGTAACACTGTGTCTGACCCATTGTGCATGTGATAAATAGACATCTTCCTCCCTCTTTACTGATTTTTTTTCTTTTCTAAGTTATCATAATCACATCATCAAGTCCTCTCATATCATCTTTTGTTCCTCTGGGAGTAACTTCGAAATATATATGCTTAATAATGCACAGATCATCATTATAAGAGGGCTTCTTGTACGGAACCATTTAGGTAGTTGGTTCCTAAAACTCTAGCCGAAGGAATATATATAATGCTTTCATTGCATTGTAGAGTAATGTAATGAAAAGATAATATATATAGAATTTATAGAATTCCATACTTTCTCATCTCTATTATTTATCTTTATTCCAAGTTTAATTACTTTCCCTAGAAAGTACAGCTGGATTTTTAAAACTTGGAGGTCATTTAGTAACAGAGTTAACCTTCTGAATACAAATGCCTGCAAGCCTGCCGTTGACCTGTTGGACAGATTAAGAGAATTTGGAACACTTACTCTCACTTAATGGAACAGAACTTGAAAGTCCAACTTAATTTGCCATTCAAATGATTATTTTTTCAGGCTTTGCACCACAGATTCTCTGTCAGAGCCTTGAAATACCAGCTAAAGCAACTTGCTGAGAAAGGGAAACTTGTTAAGAACTACTTTTGCTTTCCAGATGAAGCATGTCTTTGATATGTGAATTTGGCCAAAGCATTTCATTTGACACCAACATCAGGAGGGATTTGGGTTGCACATTGTGATTCCTCATGTTAGCTGACCATTTGGCCAGCTAGGACTTCCCATTCCTGTTCTCACACAGGGAGGCTGATAGTATCACCCTTTACATACAAAGTTCATGAAGAAAACTTTGGCACCAGCAACTCATAGGTCTACTAGTATAAACAGATAACACTATGCATAAGAAAGTGCTTTGAAAGGTACTAAGATCTGTATTACTTAATCTATTTGAAGGATAGGCAGTAGCTTACAGGTCTGGGTCAGGGTCAGGGTCAGGGACTGCTTTGATGTCCATATGAAATGGTAACATTTTAGTTAATCCTGTGATAAACATTTCAGTGGTTAATATCTTTATGGAATTTATACTTTTAATCCATTGATATATGGTTTCAGGTTCATTCAGACATAATTAAAGTTTTATGTAGTTTGAAGTTCTGGGTATAACGTGTCGACTTTTAGGTTTTTCTTTTCCTTTTGTTTCTAGCCATCATGTACTTGTATGTACACATCCACATAAGAGTTTTGATGAATAAATATCTTGAAGTCAAAAAGAAGAGAAAGGAAATGTGGTCAAAGACAAGAATAAGAGAGCTCATCTCTATTTCCCCAGAAACTGAGAGAAATTCTGACTCATTTCTTTGGCACGTATTGTTTACCTAAGAATCTCTAAAATTTCATTCAAAGAGTGTTACTCAAGTGGACAGAAACCTCTGGTGAGATAAAACTCTAAAGACTTGGTTTTCAA